TGCCTGATTGGCTGGTTGGGTTGCTGGGCTCCGCGTGCTGCCGGGCAGGGTGGGGACTGCTCTGGGCTTGGAAGCCATATAAGTGGCGTTTAACCCTAAATCAAGGTCTTTGGTTTCACCCCTGCTGAAGTCTGTGAATTTCATATGCTGCACTGTGTAATCCATGCTGCTCACCCGCTGCTGTTCTGTTCCTCTCAATGCCCTTGCCCACGTTTGATATGTTATGAATTCAAGTGCAGGAGGGGAAGGCTCATAGATCAGCGTGAATAAGTAGCTCAGGAAGGAAGAACCCTAATTCTCTGGGAAGAATGGGAGTTAAAAGTCGTCATTCCCACTGGCTATCTCATCTGGCTCCTTGTTGAGCATAGTTGCTTTTGGGAATGTTTTCCTTGGGGATCTGCCCCCTCCAAAGGGTGGGTGCAATGCCTTGGTACGCAGCTCTGTTCCTTGTGTTTCTCTGCTCTCTGGACCCGGGGATTTTGAGTTTTGCTGCAGCTGCATCCCAAGCTGTGAGCGCTCGCCTCCATGGCTATTCTTGCAGATGTCCTGGAAATTCAGGCTTTCATTCCTGACCTGATCCAAGTTTCCTGACTGTTCTTACACTCTCTGAATTTTGTTCAGACCTAATTGCTGAGCAAAGCTTTGCATTTTCCTACTTTCACTGTTCCTTGTTCTTACCCTTGATTGCTTTTTCATTTCCTTTCTTTTTTTTTAATTCAAGGGTATGTATTGCTCAGCCGGCCATGTCTCCTTCAGTCAAACTGTGGAGTCAGCCTCCCATTTCTTTGTGTCCTTGCCCTCAATTGCTTGCTTCCATTCTGTTTCTTCATTGGCCCTGCAGAGAGTCACTGTCCTTCCACCCCTCTTTATTTATTGAATTCTATGCTTTAGTTCTCATGGTGAAAATCATAAAAAGCAATCTTGGTCAGTAGTAGTTTCATGGCACTTTCTATAACAACCAATATGGTCAAAGTTTCAATTTTCCCAGTTCCAGTTGAAACTCTTGTGCAGTCAACAGCTTGGAGGGCCTGCACACATGGTAGGATGAGATTGCGCCTTCTTCTAAGCATGGAGAGAGGGAATGTTGCCCACTCCTATGAGTAATATTGAGTACATGTTGACTCTAAATGACATTTTGCTCTTCCTCTTCATCACAGACCCTCCGTGCAATTGGAGCTCCTTGGGTATGTTGACAGTGCAGAATATAGTACAGTGTAGGGACACTTCATCCGCTTCTAAATATATTGGCTTTGGAAAGATGAGATGCCAAACAATTGGTTGAGCCAGATCTCTAATGATGTGGTAAGATTGCTTGTGGTACCCAAACTGGGTCAGGTATCTTTGCACTGAATTACTGTCTAAAATATTGATAGAATTTTCTGATATCTTCAAATATTTGGGATTTCCTTTGACCCTGAGTATGGCTTGGGGCTTGATTGACCTTTCCTCTAGAAAAGTTCACAACTATCCTCACTGTCAACTCATTCGGCTGTGGGCTTTGTGGTTCCCCTGCTTATTACAAACAATATTTTTATTCTAATAACTATTACAAAATGAATCCAAGCTGATTAGCTATTACTCCTCAGATGTTTATCTTCCAGACCCAGACCAGAAACAGAAAGTCTATATTATTTTGAAAGGTAGTCTTTGATGTCCTCTGTGCCCTAGTGAACGCTTCTTCCACTGTAAGCAGACTAGTAAGGTAGTATTGGGAGTATTTTACCTTTCTTGCAAAGTAATTTTAGATTTTTTTTTCAGAATATGCAGATAAATATCTGATACAAGGATTGTTGCAAATGTGAAATGTGCTACATGAAAGAAAACCTTTCTTTTTTCTGTATAATAGTGGTTATAATCCAGAGGCTTCCCACCTGTGTTCCCAATTTTGCACTATGTGCTAGTCAAAACAGACTCCTCCATCGCTTTATTACTACTGTTTCCTTCTAACAGGCTTGTCCCTGATGTAATAGTGTTTAATTCAGT